CCGGCATTAGCGCAAACAAATGACTTTTTGAAGGCTAGCAACTGCTTTTCATTCGTAATGAGATTTATTTTTATTCGCCCATCCGAAATATGCAATTTCGTCACCGAAAAAGGTGATTGTTTTGCCCGAAGGGTAAGGTTTTTCAACAGATAGCAGTGATTATGAAAAAAATGTTATAAAATTGTTTTGGGCATTTGCAGAACTTGCAAAAGATGAATCGGGAGAATGGTTTAAATACCATTAAGCAAGCTTGCTTGCAAGGACAAGTGTTTACTTAAAACTTGAATAAATCTCGAAAATATTGATATAAAGTTCGGAAAACAATTTAGAATAGATTCGTCTAAGCATTGAGTAAGAAAATAATTCCGATAGATCAGCCAACCCGTTCACCCACCAAACCAAAGATGATCTTTTTCAATGCACTTAGGCGGAAAGTAAGTGGAATTCATGATGAAGGTATATATGTAACGGCTTTTTAAATATTTATTAAACAGGTAAATTTAAACATAAATTGATTTACGATTAAAAAAAGAATAAAAACGAATTCAAATTCAATGCACAAGGCAACAAATATGAATATGAAAAGAATTATCAGGATTGTATGATAAAACAGACAGACGAACAGACAGACATATCCAGTTCATCCCACATATGCAAAGTAGTTTAAATTTACTGAGATCTGTTCAAAGAGAAAAAAAAAGTTGGCCAAAAAAAACCAGTAATTTGTTAACCGACAGGTATGTAATTAACTTAACCGTTATGTGTTCGTTAATGCGTTAATAACCTTGTTTAACGGTATTTTCAAAGTAAACTTGATTTTTCGCTACTTACATGTGATAGAGGGGTAAGATAAAAGCAAGCATATGTATATATATATATATTATATATCTACAGTCATTCGAACTTTTGAATTTGAACAGAGTAATGAAAACTAGTAACAAAGACAAAAATAACAAATTATTAACCGTTTAAACTTGTAGGCCTTATTCTATGTGCATACAATTGTAATAAGGTGTGGCCTTGAATTTATTTTAACAATTTTTGGCATTTAAAAACAAATGCACACAAAAACGCAAACACAAATGTTACTTGACGTCTTGAAGCGAACCTTGCATTCCCTTTTCTAAATTTTATAAACACCCTACATCGTTCTCCTTCCTCCATCAAAACTAACACAGCACAGATGTTGTGTAAGTGAAATTGGACTATTTTCTGGTGTTTTTATGTGTGCGTGTGTGAGCGTGTGTGTGTGTCAATAATTTGGAGCGGACCCTCGTAAGAACATAAGCAACGAACGTTTCCTTGAACTACGAACAAAAACTTTGTTAACGTTTTGAAGAGATTTAGATTGGACAGCGGATGTCTATGTGATGTGTTGGTATGCTCCATTTGTTCGCTTAATTGTAAAATAAACGCGATCTACGTCAACGTCAACGTCCGTATCTGGGATTATCATTTAACTCGGTAACCAAAGATTTTATGCAATAATGCATAGCAGCCGGCGAAGCAAATATATCTTATATGTACAACGTACGAAGCCCTAACACAACTATCGGTAACTCTTCACTCCATTTTAGCGATCACTCTAAGGCTATGATTTGCAATTTTCAATTGTCTGTCGAATCACTCCATCTTACTGTTGACTTGTGGATGATATGAATGCCAAGTAATTTTGTTAATGTCGCGAATAGGCTTGAAACGAACTGTGCTCCCTGATCACTTATGATTGTGAATGGTACGCGGAAACGCGAAATCGTGTATCGTGTGTGTTAAATATATAGCTGTTACCATTAAATTGGGCAAGGGAATCGAAAATGTCTACATGGATCTATTGAAATCTCCCTTTGGACATTCATATTTTATGTAATGGTGTCTTCGTGTGTACCGAAATTTTCGATCTTTAGCACGGAATACATTAGCTTGACCATGAGCTGATTTTTTTTTTTTTAGTGGAGAGACAATTGTACTGATGATGTTTATAAAATGTAGAAATTTCCAAGGTCTTGCACACTCGACAAGACAATTTTTCTCCTACAATCACAAACGGTTACTATTGGATACATCGTGTACGATTGGAGTGAATAGATAAATTTTAGAAATTGATTTGCAAAAAGCAATCAAGAACGTATACGTCATGTGTCCGGTATATTCTTCGGCCTGGAACAACGGGGACAACGCAGGCAGGCAAACGTAGATAAGTTGAATCAAAATTTAAATGTTAAAATAAAAATAATATATAGACTTCACCGCGATTTACAATTTTCATGTTCTTACATTATATTATTCTCAAAGCTCGGCAATAATTGCAAACTTAAGCTCTTAGGCCATTCATTGGACGGGAGTATCATCGCGTTCGTTCGCATTTTAGTTGATTATGATTGACTATCCGTAAAATGACACTTGAATCCCTTTTTGCAAAGAATTATTGCTTTTTTATTTATTTTAGTTTTTTTGATTATTATGACTCTAACTTTGGTGATGTGAATCCGGTTTGCGCGAAGCTCAACTTAGAAGATATTTAGAAAATTGCAATTTACGCCGTTTATGATATATTCAATAACAGATAAATATGTAAGTAAAAAATATGTAAATAGGTTCATAACCGTATGAACGAATAAATACATGAATGAATAAATACGTAAACAGGCAATGATATTAAAACATATATATATATATATAAATACTTAAATACAAATATAAATAAGTACGTAAATACATACACATGAACAAAAACATAATTATACAAATTCATGCATACATAACAACATAAATGCATAAGTATATAAATAAATAGACGTATACTAAAGTAAATAAGTACATAAACACATGAAGATATAACTACGTAAATACATAAATATAAAAATACATATATGCATAAATACATAAGCACATAAGTATGTGAACACTTACATACATTTATATACATATATATTAACGCATATTTACATAAGTACGTACATACATAAATAGATGCACATATACAAATTTGTACATATATAAAAATATAAATGCGTAAATATGTAAAAGCACATAAATATATATATATATATATATACCTATAAATACATAAATACACAAATACAAATATATATATAAATGCATACAACATAAATGCTTGAACATATAAACACATAAACACGTAAAATACATACATGCATAATTTGTATATACATAATACATAGACACATATGCATAAAAACATAAATAACTAAACACACACGTAACTACGTAAATGTAATAAAAAAAAAAAAATAAGTAATTAAATAAATCAATAAATTGACGAATTGATAGCCGTAGTTATGTGTCGGTGATCATTCGATGACCGCACCGTAGCGTAGTTTTCTGCTTGTTACAAACGAAGTGGTAATGTTAGCATGCCAAGTTTTCTCCGGCATTTAATGTAAATGTTACCTGTTTGTGATAAAGTTAAACAACTTCAAACGAATTTGTGCATGTATGCAACTTTTTTTTTCTTTCAATTTTTTTTTCTTCCAAGTGCTTCTAATTACAATCTATATGCAGACATTGACAACCATTTAGAATTTGTTACAGGTTAAATTTCAACGTTTTTTTGAAGCAATTCTGATATAATCACATATCCAATACAGTTACAATTCAACTTGTATCTTAAATGATAAAAATCTAAAATATTTGAGAGAACGTAAAATTTTCAAAGCTGAGCTACTTATAAACGATATGATTATCAAGTGTGCGGATCAATTGTCCAGCATTCCATATTTAAATTGCTGAAGATGTAGATTTGCAAATTAACGGTATTTCTTTGAAACTTTGAAATACTTTATGCACAAATTGAATTGGGCCAGTTGAAGTTTAAAGGCGCACATTGTACATAGTGCATGGTAGCGATATTTTTTGAACTTTGCTTTCAGAAGTTTATTACGAAATTTTTTCATGAGCAATCAGATTTTTAATACGCTACTAGTTGTAGTCGGCCTAACATTACTAATTAAATAACGTTCGATTCGATCCTAAATTCGTTGACGATATTGGCGGAAACATGATATGGCAAGCAAACCTGTTTCTTGCATTCTGTTGAGCAAAATAACTAAACAGAAGAGATTCGTTTAACCGATAAAATTGCCGAATGCGATTTCCTTTCCGAACCCTTCAAAGGTCATATCCGCATGAATAGCGTAATAGAGAAGAATCACGACAGGAAAGTTAGTGTTCACGGATTCAAATCTCAAACGCGATAGAGTTTACTTTAAGCACAGCTATGGCGAGCACTCACTCAGTCACTTCGTTACACCCTCCATATGTCTTTCTCGTTCTCGATTCTTTTCCGACCATCAGCGTGTTACGCTAAAAAAGGGCATACCCCGATTGATCAGTGATACCAAAAGAGAATGAAATAAAAAAACTTTAAAAACCAAGCATTTTTGCAGAGGGCGAATATTGACAATAAAAATCATATATCTGCCATGATAGTAATGGAATAGGTCAAGACGAGTAAGCAATGATACGAACTCAAAAATATTACACTCTTGATTTCAGAGCAATGATAAATATTTGTCTATTATGACAGGTCAATAGCCTCAATTAAACGATTGAATCGATCAAGTACTATATAAAAGTGCGCGGGAGATTAACGAGTCAAAGTGGGTTGGGCCTCTTGCATTCAATTAAGGCAAGATTAGTCCACGGGCATTGAATGGGAGATATTGTTTGCCCATTTACATCTAACAAGAAAGAACAATTTCAATAAGAACATTTTTAATTAAACAAATGTCATCAAATAGTATTGGAATGACTTTTTTCTTCGCAAAAATCGGTTCTTGAATGATGAATAAGAAAGTTTGGGAGAGATATAGTGAAAAAGTGCTAAATAAGTGAGTGGAGTTCATAAGGACTTTTGTAATCGCTGATCGATGATCATCGCAAAGAGTTAAATTTCTTAAGTCTGGCAACTTTTATTACTATAGCACTATTCACTTCTATGGTGGTTTTTGCGGTAGTTTTGATAACTAATCTGCTTGTTTTAACATTAATTAAGCGAGTTGCGATAAAAATAAGGTTTACCTGGTGACCGCTGCACCCAATAGTATAAATGCGCTTATCTTTTGCAATTGAAGAATGAAAAAAACAAAAATACATTTAAATCTAGTTGAAACGTTTACTTGTCAAATAGCATTTCCCAGCAAAAGTTGAGCGAACATATTGACTTGGAAAATATTTTTTAATAAACTTCCATACATACGATGATACCTAAATATATCAGTAGCGTGCAAGTAAAAGAAATACTGACCTGGCCTTTGGTGAATGCTGCTGTGGAAGAAGCTCTTAAAGCGATTGATTACAGTGAACTCAATGCCGCAAATTTAGAACAATCATATAAACAGCAGCCACCTCGCACCATTACCACATGTGGAAATGCATCGAAACTATTACTTACTATGCCCGGCTATGTGGGCAACTATAATGCATTGAATAGGAAAACAAATGATCACTTAAAGTGCTCCAGTACATTAGCTTGCAAAGTGGTTACATCGTTTACCAATAATCAAAATTTGCAACCACCTCTACCCAACATATTGGCGAACATCTTGCTTTTTGATATCAATACGGGAGAATTGCAATGCATTATGGAGGGTACGCAAATAACAGCATGGCGTACAGCAGCTGCTTCCATTGTGGCCACCAAATATTTATATATGAAACGTTTCCCTCAGCGGTTCGAAACGAGCATAAAACTTGCCATAATAGGTTGCGGAGTACAAGGTCAAAGCCATGCTTTAGGCATGTGTGCCACTTTTAACGTTAGTGAAATATATCTATGGAATCGTACGCAGTCCAAAGCTGATGATTTAGCATTAAAACTTCAAAAGTTATATTCGCAAAATTCTGTGCAAGTTTTTGTAACAAATACCCCTGCAGAAGCTGTAAGAGAGGCGGCAGTCATTTGCATAGGAACCTATTCACCTAATGCTTTAATTAATTACGATATGTTAAAGACGGGCGATGTTCATATTAATAGTAATTTGTAGTCTCGATATTCTTTTCAATATTGTAAAATGTAATCATAAAAAAATCCCATTGCAGCGGTTGGGGCTGGTGCAGTGCATTTTGGTGAAGTATCGCAGGATATATACGACAATGCGGTAATTTATGTCGATTCTCTGATTAATGCTCGTACAGAATTGAAGGACTTAAAGGCCAATATCATCGGTGAGATTGGCCAAGTAATACGTGAGGGCAAACGCACAGAAAAGAAATGTTTAACTATCTATCAATCATTGGGTAATTTTGCTATCTTTTAAAAGTTAACGCCAAAAGGATTAATAAACTTATTCATACTTTAAGGTATGGCTGCCGAAGATGCTACCGTCGCCCAAGCAGTTTATGACGCATTATAAATAGTTATAGTATATTTAAATTGATTGAATTTAATAGTAATTATCTGGTATATAAGAAAATCAAATGTTAATGTGATCTAGAAAAAAAAGACAATTTTTTATAAACTTAACCTTAAATATTTTGGCAAAAACACATACATAATACTATATTTCTTTACTTTAAACCTGTTCAACATTCGGATCGAAATTATTTATGTAGCGAAATTTTTTGGGAGATTTGTGCCTAAATTCTGGATCGGTAAGTACTAAACTTTCCAAGTTTTCAAAACTTCTTCAAAAGTCATAAAATAATACATAGTAGCTATTTTCGGTTCAAATTCATACGATTTTCAAAATTTATTACTTGGATTAGGAATATATCTGATTTCTGATTTCTTAGAATTGTGCAAGCGCTTATCTTGCGACCATAAGTGTAAGATATTCGAAGTGAATTTACCTACCGATCATTTAACGTAAATATATAGTTAAAAATTTGTGAAATTTCTTGTTAGTTATAAAAATTGCTTTGATAAGATACATTTTGTAATCGTTACTTGTCTAAGGCACGTTTGTAAGTACCCCGCGTCCACTTATCACAACATATTTATCATCCTCTCTTCAAAAATGCTACGAAATTATCGCGTAATAAATGCACATCCCCGATAGTTTTAAAAAGCAATTCATTTATGCCCTATATTTTAAATTAAATTTATTAGTCAATTAGGAACTTTAAATAATTAAAAAAATTCAATTGATTATCAATTAACTTTATAGTATATAAGTTGGAAGTGCCGCATTATTCAATAAGTCTCTGGCGAATACCGTTAACAGTCTTTTATAAATTCTGAATAGTATCAGTCTTAAAACAAAGGGTGTCCAAGTTTCACGACTGTGAACGCTTTGAAAGGTGTTATGCCGCCTCTTGTCTGTCACAATGATAAATAAAATGGATGGTTGGTATGGACACCGATGATATTAAACTCTCTTAACGATCAATATCAAAGTGAAGTGAAGTTGCGGGTGATAGCTGACACCTTAAAGATATCAATAGGCTGACTATTTTACACTAACCATGTGTCCATGAGAAAACTCGGCTGACAGTGAGCGATGTATTTGCTTGCTGTTGAGAAGACCGATTGATTGACTGTGACCGATCAAAATCACTGTGGCCGCTTTGGCGCTGTTCAGACGAAGCAAAAAGGATTTATTCACATATGTGATGTATTACAATAGTTGAGACGTGCGTTCATCACTACACTGCAGAGACAAATCAGGAGTCAGCCGAGTGGACAGCAACCAGTAAAACCTGTCTAAACGAAAAGTAACCTTACTAATACTGAGGTCATGAAACTTCGACGCACACCATTTTCATGCTGGTACTATCCAGAAATGATAGGTTGGCGAAAAGTATTGCCATAGAAGTGTCAGAGCGATGACTTATTGAGTGAGGTAGTAATGAAATACATGTAATTACTACTTATGCTCAGAATTATAAAATAACTTGACAGCATCTCTAAAACTATTCACGCTAGCAATAGCCTTGATATTAGGCGACAACAAAAAGCAGTCTGGGTGATTTTGAATACTTATGGCCTGCGAGCAGTAAATTCTGGATTTGATGAATCGAATTTTCTCATAAACATATTTCGATGTACAAGTTTCATTAAGCGTATGAATGAAGATTGCATTTCTAGCATAAAGGAACGATCAGAGTCGGACGAAATACGCTACAAAAGCCGCGATATACTTACTGTCCTATTTATATTTATTAGAAAAGTGTTTAGTACACTTATTTACAGCCAATTGTAGTTTACTACAGGCACAGTCAGTGTTGCCATAAACGTTGGCTCCATATGATATGAATGCCACAACCAGGCATTTAAACCATCTGAAGATTTAGCTTTAGCTGAAGCATACGAGGAATATAACCGCAGCGCTAAATATGATATGACTACCAGCACTTAAAAGTGAGTTAATTATTAAGGCAAAATTTTTTACAATCTGGCAGACAATGTCAATCATTGCATCAGTCGAGTATAATACTGGATAGAGAGCTAGAATCGTAAGCGTTGGGTGATATCGCTAAGGTGAGGATGTGCGCATTTTTTCATTATACCTCAACTGTCCTCTGCCGCTGGACTATGTTAAGCACTCTATTCATTATTGCAATCTTAGATAAGATCGCACATACATAGGTGCCATCATTTATATCGTACAGGGTGCAGTTGTGCTGCAAGACGGACACACTTTTCATTGTGAGCCGAACGTTTGTCAATGCAAATGTATTATAAAAAAAATGTTGAAAAATTATCGAGAAATTTTTGTATAAAAAACGTATCACACACACCATGTAGTTATCCCTCAGCGAGAGACTTGAAGAGAAACGAGACCATAGAAGAGATAATATCAGCAACGTATTAGAAAATCAGATGAAAGGATTAATAATAATTTATAATTTACAATTAGATCAAGATCATTTTGTGTACCCTGAAAATATTGTTAGTTTTCCTAAAATTTTTTTGAAAAAGATGAAAAGATCTTTGCTGATATTTGAGGTTTCATATGTGAAAGCAATATTTGCCGGATATCAACACAAGATCTCTAAGCGTCAATCGATGAAGTTTGAGCACCACATCCTCAAGTTTCTTAACGTTATGTTTATCGATAGTCGTGTAGAAAGTGTTCTCTGTTTTCTTTGAACAACATATAAATATCACAAAACACTCATCCGTGCTGTCGTGAAATTGTCAACAAAAGCTTTTCCGAACGTTTCGGTAAACGAAATTACATTTTTAAGGAAGCGAAATGCAACTGGGTGCAACTTCTTTACCAAACTTTTTCACTCAGTTTCAGGAGAAACAGAAATTTGTTGATTAGTTGAAAATGAATAAAACTATCTCATTAACTGACTTCTTACTAATGAAGATATCGTCACGAATTTTGACAAAGATAAGAAATGAAATTGCCGCCGATGAGTTAAGGAAAATATGGTACTACTGATAGTAATGCGATATAAAATCTTATAGGAATAAAAAAAGAAAAAGCAAAAAAATTATATTCGATCTGGATTACACACGCTAGCTATCCTAGCAAATAGTTGTATCGGGTTTCTTTACGTAAAAGTTGTACATTTTTTTTCTTTCTATTGTGTATGTGTCGGTAAAGGAATCGTGAGCACTTCTTTGCTACATATTTACGCAATTGTTACGGATCCTTGTTCCTGATTAAGTTCACCTCCAAACTTTTCGAATGAATTTTTCTCAAAAAAAAAAAGAACTTAAAAAAAAAATTGGCCAACGGTCGGTAAATTTTTATTCTGTTGTTTTACATTTAAATTTGTTACTTGCGGTACAGTTAGAGAGACCTTTTAAAAAATAATTAAATACATTTTTTGAAAAGTGTCGCGTATCTAGTTACACCCATCACCACTTGTGGTATATTAAGGGTATATTGAATTTGTGCGGACTTATGCAACACCCAGAAGGAATTACGATAGACCCACCTTTTTTATGATTCTAAGCCCGTTTAACACCCGTCCATGTAAATTTGTGTTCAAGCTACAGGTCGCAATTTTTGAGATAGTTCGATGAAATTTTGTATACTGTTGTGCTTTAACCTAAGCACAAACGATTTTGGATATGGTTAGGATAGGTCCACACTTTCCACCACGCCCCATATAATATCCTATTTTGAAAAGTCGTCTTATGGAAAATATTTTAATTTTCAAAATTTTCCGACAAAAGTGGATAAGCAATAGTATTTCGGCATTCTAAATTGGTTTGAAAAATTTGCTTCGGTTGGGCAATTTTTTCGAACCACTCTCACACAACGAAAACTTGTAGTTCATATGACAGATGGTCTAATTTTCAATGCTTCATGATGAATATCAAATCATTATAGTAATTTAAGATACAAAAAAAATGAGCTGTACCAAATTTGAATCATTTCCACCTATTTTTCGACTCCTACTCTATCCTATACGGAGTTTCACGAAAATTTTTGTTTTTTACAGTTCCATAAAAGTAAGTTCATATTAAAACAGGGTATAAACTTAGATTCTATTGGGTTAAACAATATGATTTAGGTTATTTAGTAATCGGCCTAGCTCGACTACGTTTTCGCTCGTTTATTTTTAAAAGGAAAAACAACTCAACTCCTCCTTTGAACGACCTTTTTTTTTGACACATAATGCCAATCGATCCAAAGCTGCAAGGAACTACTTTGTATACGCTTGACTAAACATGGGCGTAGACATGCGCCACCGCACCTATCTGAAATCATATAAAACTGATTATGCCCTATTGAGGAAATGAGCTTAAACTAAATAAACATCATCCAGTAGGGGAATAAATGACGACAAAGCATAAATATTAAATATATTATGAGGTTCGGGAGTTGTGGCTTTTGTTTTTTTTCTTTTTGTAAAATAAAAAACAAATGATTATTTTACGTTTAAATAATTTGTAAATTTTTTATTTAATATATTAATCTTTTCTTGTTTTTTATTTATTTAATTTTTTTTTTTGTTTTTCTTTTTTTTTTTAAATTTATTTACTTATAATCTTTTTAAAGGTTAAACTTATTTGATGCATTTTTTTTCAAATATCATGGATTATAATTTATATATATATTTTCCTTTTTATTTATTATTTTTTTTTTTTATAATGAATTTGTTTTTTTTATGTAGGTATTTAATATAAATTTAATAATATCCTAAAAGAGAGAGAAAGAGAGAGAGACAGAGAGAGAGAGAGAGAAAGAGGGAGAGAGAGAAGTTAGGTGTGAATTCGTTTAGGTGTCAGAGTGTTATACCTACGAGTAGACGATTGTGTTTGCTTGTCTGTCCGCAACTTTGTGTGTGCGTGTGCGTGTATGTGTATGTATGTAGGTATGTGTATGTATGTATATGTGTACGTGCGTGTATGTGTGTATATGTATGTATATGCGTGTATGTGTATGTGTGCACCTGTACATGTTTACGAAGAGAAAAACGTACAACTATTTCGATATTGAAAGCATTTACAAACGGGCATACATCCATACACACATGTATACGCTATATACATACATCGGGTATATGTGCATATATATATATCTATATATATATATATTGTATATATATATATATATATATATATTTATATACATATGTGCGTTATATGCCCGCATTCCTAATAATTACTTTAACGAAACTTCCCAAACATCACCAAAGTTAAGATTTGATTAGAAACCTGTCTTATAGAAAAGACAAAAATGAGCGAAATTCTAAGGGAAGTGAATGGAAAAGTAAAAAAAATATGATTTCGATTTCTAACGTTTACGAACATGATGATAATGATAATGATAACGATGATGATGATGGCAGGGATGATAAGATGCCGCTCTGATGATATTTAATATGCATTTAATTTTTCGCTTATCTTCATTTAATAAAATGTTGGGCTTTGTTTCCATACGACTTTTTCTTTTTTTAATTCTTTTATTGGAATAATAATTTTATCATAATTTTTGTAATTATTTAATAATAACTATTTCTGTCTTTTTCGTTTTTTTTTTTTTTTCTTTATTAAACTTTTTTGTGAGTTTCCTTTCTGCATTCCTCTTTGTTTTTATTATTAAAATTTCAAATCTGTTCTTATTTTGCGGTTTATATTGTATGTGGATGTAGATGTGTGTGGTGATTGGGTGTTTTCTTTAATAGTAAAATACTCAACAAATATTTTAAGTTTATATTTATATATATATATATTTTTTTATATATATGGTTTTGTTTTGCTTAAATACTAATAAAACGTTATATTTTCTGCTTTAAATTAAAATATTTATAAATAAAAAAAATAAAAATGTAATAAAATGAACTCATAGTTAAAAAAAAAACAAAAGAAAGACTGTCGTCTAAAGAAACTTCATGTTTTTGATTTCTCATGTCGACTGCTTTTATATATATGTATACATATACATATACAGAATTTTTAATCTTTATTAGCTAATATAAAATAGTATGTATTATATATATATACATATATATACATATATATATACATATACATATATATATATATATATAATTTTTTATCTTTATTAGCTAAGAAGATGAAATATTTTGTGTGAATTTGCATATATATACATATATATATACATATGCAGTTACATAAAAAAGGATGCGTTAAATATAAACCATAAATATACATTAAAATCATTTGAAGGTTCTCGTTAACTTTTGAATTAAAGAAAAGCGAAAAAAAAAATAATAGCAATAATAACTTATTCGTTTGATATATATTTCTTTTTAAACAGTTTTAATTTAATTTTTTTTTTCTTTTTTTAAGAGGCCAGCGCTGCTATATGTACAGACAATGATATTTTCATTTATTTTTTTTTTTTTTATTATAGCATTTTTTTTCCTTCTTTTTATATTAAGCTTAACTTAAAATCTAAAAACTTGTTTTATTCTAAAAAAAATTGTTTCTCTTCTAAATTTTTTAATTAGCAGCTTTTAAGTTTTTTCCTAATTGTTCAGGAAATTTTTATTATTATTATTATTAATTTTTTTTTATTTTAGAACATTTAAAATTTCAAGGATTTCTATTTTGCGGTAAACGTCTGCCAATTTTAGTTGGTAATCATAATTTACTGGTAATTGGAGTTTTGTTTTTATTTATTTTTATTTTTTTATTTTTATAATATTACTATTTATATAGTATTTAATTATTAATAAAGGCTACATTCATAATGATAATAATAATAATGCTCTAATTACAGTACAATTATATAAATATATATATATATATATATATATATGTACATATATATATATATATACTTACTTGCATTATATTAAATTATTATTAATTTCAATAATTTTATGTGATTTTTTTTTTATATTTTTCTTAAGCTTGTTTTAATGTAATATCTATTTATTAAATAATTATAAATTTTATATTTAGCGTAATAATATTTAATTTAATTATAATAAACACGGCTCCTTATACATACAGTATTTTTTTATTTTTTTCTTTTATATATTTTTTCTTTAATTATGTTTAATTTTGTGTTTTGCTGGCTTTTCGGGGGGCAGGGATCTTTATTATGTTAGTAGTAGTAGAGTAGTAGTAGTGATTTAGAGAAGTTTTATGGTGTTTTACTCTTTTGTTTTTGCATTTTCACTATCCTTTTTTTTTAATTTGTTTTCTAATATTCTTTCAAAGAGCTCTTAACAAATTTGTGTCTTTTTTTCGTCTATTTTGATAAATTGGGCAACATTTTTTTTTTTTTAATTCACTACTTTTTTCTGTTTAATCATTGAATCATTCATTTAAAAAAAAAAACAAAAAAAATCAGTGTTTTGTCGTAAATGTAAAAAGAAAATTTTGAAATATTGCAAAGATGCCTTTTTTGTTCTCCTTCGTATATATGTATCAATAAAACAAGAACTGCTTTCGTGAGAAGGTTGATCTTTTTATCGTTGTTGGTCAATTTTCGTTATTTTAGTTAAAAAAAAAAACCACTCTTTTGGTTAATTCGAATCCCTACTTTGTATTGTTTTTTTTTGTAATTATTTGGGAAAAATATTGCGAAAAAGCTGACACGTGATAAGCGAGAAAAAAATCAAAAAAAAAGGCAGATAAAATAAAAAGAAAAAAAAACGAGAAAAAAATTTAAAAAAAATGCAAAAAAGTGCTTAATTTTTTCTGGAAAATAATCTGCAAAAAGAAACGCTTCAAAAATTCACCTCAAATAAGAAAGGCCGCACGCGAATGTCATAGTAAATAAATAATAGGCATTAACTACGTAGCCAATGTTGACATAATGTAAGGAGTTCATTTCACTTACATTATCCATGCAACTAACTCGACTATTTATGCCGATAATTGGTCAATTGAGAAGTCAGTTAGGTTAGTACATAATAAATTGGGCCGAAAAATTCACTTTTTGCAAATATTAAGCCATTGCCTTTTCGCTGCCGCATCATAAATAAACTGACAACTGATATGTTATTTTGCATTATTTCCGTATTTCGTTCAAAGACCATATGAACAATGGCTAAAACGTCTATTAATACGCACATTACATGCTACTTCATTATATTTGAGTGGAAAATTTTTAACGGATTACAAATGTCATTAATGAAAAAGGAGAACAAGAAAATAGTATGAAAATTTTAAATTAGTTCAAGAAAGAGAAGAAGAGCTTAAAAGCACAATAACAAAATGATCCCTACGAATGAGTGCAGAGGTAACAATCGAACGATCTGTATGCGATCATCGACTGTATGAGTTCCTTAGATAGTGTCGACCGGTTGCTGGTTGGTTCAATATGAACCATCATATCGCCCTTTTTATGGACAATTCATGCAAATGGAAATAGACGCCTTGTCAGATATTCATTAACACTCCACCCAACTTTTACAGAGAACAAGGCAGAACATGCACATGCAATATGTTCAAATTTTAACCGATCAACTTATTGGAAATCTTCAAGAGGAGAGAGAGAACGAGAGAGAGAACGAGAGAGAGAGAGAGAGAGAGAAGAAAAATGTAAAACGTTTACACTTGTGATATCAACAAGTTACGCGATAAACTACATGTAATATACAGTGACAAAGAAAAGAGGTTACGTCATCTGTTCCAAAGAAAATCACAAATATGGATGAAAGCGAAACTAGTAGATACTAAGACAACTTAAACTTATGTACAATTCAAATTTTGTTTATATTACAAAAAACCAAGGGAAGTAATAATAAAAAGGAAACAATACACACAAATAAATTAATAATGTGTTTGCTAAAACAAATTTGCAGGTTGCAAGTTGAGAGGTTACAAACAATTTGTGATTTTTTTGTATATGTCAATTTCTTCGAATTCGTTCAACCATCAAAAAAGCAGACAATCTTCTAATCTTTCGCAGATATCCAAGCATTTCATATTTGTCTCTAAGCATTCACGACGCCCGTAAATCACAATTTTTTTATTACATAGTCACTGAATGCAGAAAAGATTTTTTATACATTCATTCGTCTGTCTTGAATATCTCAATAGACTATTTTCTAAGAAACGCTTTTAAGATAATTTTCATTACCCATTCACCACCACCTCAAATAGGTGTGGATGGATCGATTTCGGATCGAGCAAATGAATATAACCTTTTCATTTTTAGTTACTGGATGTCGATGAATTAACATGGATTCGAAGAAGTTTATTTACGCCAAAATTTGGTTCATATACTATCACCAATTCCAAAGATCACGGTATATTTAATTTTTTAAACGCAACAAAAATAATTTTTTCACAAAAATTTGCTTAAAGAAACAGAATTTTTTTGGTAAAAAAAAGCACTTTTTATATAAAAATTTTTCTGTTATGTAATAAAAACTGTTTGTCAGCATCATCAACCTTGATATACCAATAAATTAAAATTTCTATCAACGGCAGTGTGCGTTAAAATTTTATTATGTTAGACTTGGAGGGAGTTGAAAAAGGATTAACATTTTTCTTTTATTTCTCTTCCCTTCTCTCAGTTTTTGTTTTTTTGTTTTCGTTTTCGTTTTTCTTCTGTTCTCAGATCTCTGTTTAACTTATAAGACACCATTTATAGTTTTTTGATTACCTTTCGTGGAAGTGAGCATTTTCCGTTGTTGCGGCACTATACCGTTATGTTGTAAACCGGTCGCATCCCTTTTCATTGTTTTACTTTTGTTATTGCTTGCTGTTCTCTTCGTAGTATAACCAGATTGATGTCTGTTATTATTATTATTATTATTATTATTATTATTGTTGTTGTGATTATAATTCAATGTTGTTATTGTTGGTGACGGAGGTATGGGAACAGTAGGGCAAGCAGGAGGTGATTTATTTTGTATTAACATTAGCAATTAGGAATTGGAATTACGTTTAGTTTGCAGCTAGGATGAGCTCGATTGGTTCAAATTGCCAAACATGCCCGCTGAGAATGAAGTTTGCCCAGCGGAGTTGCCCTGATTGCCAGATGATTGCTGTTGTTGTTGTTGTTGTTGCTGCTGTTGTTGTTGCTGTTGTTGCTGCTGCTGTTGATTAAGTGATTGACCACGACCATGTTTAGGTATAGGTGGCTGTATGTATTCATGTCGTGCTAGTGCAAATACATCCATGCGATCCTCTTTGCGATATGCCAAACAACCGCGTATAAAACTCTAAAAAAAAAAGAAGAAAGTTAAATATATTCGTGTCAAGTGCATTATAGCTAAACGATCACCTTGGCTTCATTGGATACAGTGGGTTTATTGGAGAATTGTACTTCAGTCGCTTTAAGTATGGTATTCTCCTCGAGTATCGTTGCTTGTGATTGATTGTGGCCGAATGGCTTTTTACCATATAAACACTGATAGAAAATCACACCAACACTCCAAACATCCACTTTTGAGGAGATTTTCGGTGGATTTTTGCCCACGACAAAACATTCCGGTGGTAAGTACCTTCATAACGGAGAAAAGCCATTTATAAAAAGGGTATTATACATAAGAATAATTTCGAATATATTCCTTAGCTTTTTTTAAGGCGATAAAATAATTAAGTTTTATATATATTTAGAAAAAAAAACCGTCACATACTCACCAATAGGTACCCGCACCTTGCGAGGTCAAATCCATACCATGATCTGGATTATAATTCTCATCATCCATTACTTTGGACAGACCGAAATCAGTAATTTTGATTTCACCACAAACATTGCCTTCGGTGAGTAGAATATTACCCGGTTTTAAATCGTAATGAATAACTGGTGGTTTAATCTCATTCAAATATTTTAAAGCAGAAACAACCTATGAATTAAAATTAATTCATAAACATATACATATATATACACAAATATGCATTTGCATCTACCTGCATTATAATCGAACGCGCCTCACGTTCGGGGATAGTTTTATGCTGTTTAAGGTAAAAGTCCAAATCATGACCATCACAATACTCGAGAACAGTACAAAAGGAGTTGGCATCAATTTCAAAGACATCATACAGTTTCACCACACGTGGATGATCCAAAGCCTTATGTATATTGTATTCTCGCAACGCATGCCTAAAATTTGAAAATTTTTTAATTTTTCGAAACTATTCATCATTTCGAGTAGAAGTCTTTACTTAATGTAATTTGCTTTTTTATCCTCTTTCCAGTCCTTGTTCAATTGATGAACTTTACAGGCTACGTAGCGCTGCTCTTTCAAGTCGAATGCTTTGTGCACTTCGGAAAAACCGCCTTTACCTAATAGCATTAATAGCAGATATCGATCATTCAATACTGGATGATTGTTGAAGCGGGACTAATAAGAAACGACCATAAACTTTAATTATTTTCTTTTTCATATCTAAATGACATTTTCTAATCTACCTGATCCTCATTGAGTATGCGTTTCAGTTCGCGTATATGCAAATTACGCTCACGTTCTAACTTTTCCATTTCCAATTGCAGGTCAGCATCCTCTTTTTTAAGAGCATTTTGACGTAGTTTGAGAATCTCGTCGTACTCGTAGTACTCTTGGGCCGTGTATACCCCGGACACGGGATCGGGTTTAAGGAACGTTGCTGTATCAGAACCACTGCCAGAATTATCACCGCGGCCTGCATTACCACCTCCTCGATCTGAAAGGCGATCACTACCTCCCACTGTGCTTACGCCGCTACCGCCGCCGTTATGCAGCAGTTGGTTTTGCGCTTGTGTCGAATTCGACCGCGATAAACCACGCCCGCTGCCACCTCCCCCGGAGCTACCAATACCACTATCTCCGCCTGTCAGACGATCGCAACCAGCTAAATTTGTTGAATCATTTGAATTGGAATTTTGCTGGTTGTTGTTGCTGTTATTGTTGCGCTTTCGGCCTGATTCAGCTGGCCGTTTTTTCATTAATTGTTTCTTCTGTTTGTCGATTTCCTCACGTTCGGCAGAAATTTCCTCTTGCCGCCTACTCAGCTCTTGAAAGGCGTAACCATCAGTCCAGTTTTCCTGGAATGTGGCACCGACTCTCTGCGTTACAAACTGACCCAGGCGCAGACGATTTTGCATACATTTCTGACGAGCTTCTTTCTTTTCGATACTGCTCTTTTCTTTTAGCAATTTCTTGACCACTTCAATGCACTTGGCTATATGTGATTTATGTTGGTCAATAAGCTTTTGATGAGCGATTAACTGGCACTTTTGCTCATCAGACAGTCTCGTCATTTCGTCTAGTTTTGACTTGCTCGACTCGATTTCTGAATCGCGCTCTTGTATCTCGAGATACGAAAGGTCGGTCTGTGTGGCCTTGGTCACGTAAGTGGCTGGTGGCTGAGGTGGTGGCAGCGGCGGGACAACTGCATTAGGCCCAGCCAGCATACCGGTGTGTAGTGAGTTGAGCTGCGCCACAGCCATTTGTGACACAGCCAATTGTTGCTGTTGTTGCGAGGTGACTCCACTAGACAGGCTCTGTTGCACCGATGTGGGGACAACGGAAGTGGCGGGATGTTGAAGTTGCGTTTGCTGTGGCTGGGGTAAAGGGGGTGGTGGTGGACCTCCTCCACCGCCACCAGGGCCGCCCATTAAACCACCACTCTGGCCGACCGCCAGATGTGTGGACGAAAGAACACCCACGCCACCCACTCCCACAATAGGCGAAGGTGGAGGAACCATTGAATTGGAAGTCTGTTGCTGTTGGCGCTGCTGTTTAGCCGCAACCGTGTTTACGGCGGTTACATTATTGTAATGGAAATCCGGAGGCGGGGGTTGAGATGTAGGTGTAGGAACACCAGAGGCATTCAGTTGTGGCTGTTGAGGACTAGGCGGATACATGGGATACGCAGCAGCCACTCCAGTGCTGCCACCCACTGATGTTGGCACCTGCTGCGACGGCTGTTGCTGACCAGAAGGACTCTTTGAGCCACCGCCGGTGTGCGGCCGCATAGCGTTATTTGTCGTCGCAGTCTGTACTACATTATGTTTATTAAAGTAGTCATTAATTTTTTTGTCATTGCCGCCAATCACACCACCGGGTGGCAATAGCCTAGCATTCTTTCCGCCGCTTGCCAAAGCGAGCCGTTCATGTTGAGTTCCTAAAGTTTGGAAAAACAATTTAAAAACACTGATTCTTATACACTGTGTTTATCTAAAATACCCTTACCTCCATTGCCACCAACAGGACCGCCACCTCCGCTGTCATCGGTATGTATCGCTGCCATTTTCCGTTTACGTTTGCGTTCTGTAGGTGTTCGCGATATCTTATCTATGCGACCACTATTGTGTTGCTGAGTCTGATGCGGTGTCTGTTGATTGCTGCCAACACCTCCAACCATTATACCTGCTGTACCATCCTGAACCCCCATACCGCCACTATTCATCATACCGCCCCCGCTATTGGTAAGAAGTCCAATTTGATTGGGTATACCGGTAGTTTGCTGTTGTGTACTTAACATGTCGCCAACATCTTTTTCACTATGTGAGGAGCCAGTGCTCATATTCGAGTCAGGATTGCTGCTATGGCCACCGCTGGGAAGCGGCGCCGCTGGATGCGCTTGTTGCTGCTGCTGATGATATTGCGTTAAGTTATGTTGCTGTTGTTGCTGCAATTGTAGTTGTTGCAAATGTTGTGGCGCCGGTTGCAATTGTTGTGGCAAATGTGGTTGCTGTGATTGGGGTGATTGCTGCTGTGGATTGTGATGTGTAGCAAAGTGATGCTGCTGTTGAGCTGGATGATGATGGCTTAATGCAGTAGTAGTCTGAGGGGCCATCTGCAATTGAGCGCCGGCGGACATCTATAGATTACACAAAGAAACAAAACCAAATAAATTTATTAGAAATATACTAAGCGTAAAGGAAAAGCATACATCATTTAACACTTTATAAGTCGTTTTGAAAATTTTCCTCTTTCCTTTTTTTTCAATCATTACTGAGAATTTAAGAATTTACGCGTATTTTCTTATAAAATTAATTGTTAAACGTATATGTGAGAATAAGACAAACACAGTTGCATATACAAAATCAGTGTTGGTTAGTGTTACAAAATCATCAAAGAGTTGTATAAAGAAACTTGAAAAGTATCTAACACCATGCAACACCGTGGATTTATACAACATAACACATCCAAACACCTCTAGGATTTATTCGCGACGGGTGGAAAGAAACGCGAATGAAAACGAAATCTCTATAGAACACGACTTTAAAAATTAACAGAAAATATTAACAACACAATAGATTTGCATAAGACGAAGGAGAGAGAAAAACAAAGCAAAATAATATAAAGCAAACTTGAAAAAACAAAAATGGCTACTCGGCAACGACATCGAACAATAATCTCCTTTCTGTTACATTTACCAAATCTTTGCTAAATAGAAACTGACATTCATATCATCATTTACCAGAACGGCAAATATATTTTCTTTTCTTTTTTTTAGAATATAAATATATATAAATATTTTTAAAATTCAGTCATTAACGCATACACAAACAAATATATACGAGGCACATACACAGACCTTTTTCCCCTCCCGATAAAAAATTTAATCAGAATTTCCATCTTATTTAAATCACTAGTAGTAACACGAGCCGTTCAAAATGATTAGTTTTAATAATTCTCTGTTAAAATTGTAACCTTTTTTTAAAATCCGTTTATATAAACTATTTATAATCTTTAGTTTTTCTGTTAAAAAATCGCTTTTTTCACACTATGTATGTCTTTCTTCTTCGGTTTTTTGCAATTGGTTATATTTCGTTTCTACTTCGTCATCGTTGTTGTCTCATCGCGCTTCGTTGTATGGTCGTTGTTGTAGTAGCCGTTGTTGTTATCGTCGTCGTTGTCAAAGTCGGCAGGCAGCCATTGCCGAAAAAAGTATATAATTGAAGAAATTGATGAATTTTTAATACGATTGTGAAAATATTTTTTTTCCCGATCACTCACTCCAGCACACAATTTTTATCTAAACATTTTTTTGCTAAATTCATGTTTAACAGAATTGATGCTGTAAGCAATTTCAATTATTTCATCTGTTTTTGATATTTTCTTGTATATATTAATAAAAATCACTTAATTAGTTACAATTTTCTTTGAAATAAAATTTCCTTTTTTCCGTCTCTTTGTTAGTATTATTAACGACAGTGTATGAGTGAGTGCAAATGTATGTGTTCGTATTCGGCGAAATGTCTTGTTACTCCGCGAGACGTCGATAATGTTAAAAGGAAGGAAGAGAAATATTTTACACACCAATAAATGGTAACAACAACGATGATGAGATGATGATGGTGGTGTTGTGTATTTATATATATATACAAATATATATATATCAGTGTATATATATATATAAATATATATATATTGTCATCGGTAACGTCATTAAGTAGTATATGTACAAATTGTCAACATTTTTTATGAATAAAAACTTACAGTATTTATACAAATTTTGCTTTCCCTTGCCAAATAGTGTAATTTAAATATAAATTTTTGATTATTAAGTGGACCTAATTTGTATTATGTCATTTAAGCTTCCATAAAACCATTAAACCATTTGATTATGTTCTTATTGTTATTTTAGCATAATTGGATAGTCTCCTTTTTTTTTTTCTGCTCTCCTCTCTCTAATTCACAAACCCAAATCCTCTCATTTGACTACAACTTTTATCAACACTGTCTTTTCGGTCAAAAAATCTTGTTTTCTCTTTTACTCATTCAGCTATTTTGATAAAACACGATATGGTGCAATTAACAGATGATGTTTAGGTCGGTCAATGAAGTGTATTCCCATTTTCTAATATTTCCACATATATATACAGCAATCTTACTTTACCACTAATGTAATAGTAAATGCTAGAGATTAAAATGCTCATAAAATCGTTAAATCGTTTATTAGTAGGTATTCACATTATCGTGTGTACATTGGGATTTTTATAAGTTTTGTTAATTTGTTTCTTATTTGCCATTGCTGCAGATGTATATCCAACTTTTCAATTGCATTGTTCCTAATGAATTAGCAGAGTGATTTAGTTGAAATTTTGCCTGCAATTTCAGACATAACCTATAAACGTTTACTTACTATATTTCACAGAAAATAAATTTACTTCATAAGAAGAAGACAACAAATCATCATCTGATCAAAATCGCACAAAATCCATTACAACAACACATCAATCAACTCGCACATATTTATGTAGATGTGTAGGTATATTTATGTGAATTGTGTAATCAAATAAAATTTTTCGTACATTCGAGAATACTTCATGTGTGAATATACTTGGAATTGCAATTCAATTAGTGTTGTATGTTCTGTTTTTGAGAATATTTTCTTGTCTTTCGACTTGCTTTAAATAATACGCATATACAAGTACACAGAACTTATCATAGATTATATGCATATATTTCTTAAAAATATCCTCTTTATATTTTTCACCTCGAAGAAACAATTTTTTTTTTAAAGTAATTTTTAAAAAAATAGGTCATAGAAAATATTCATTAAAATTACGTTTATCTTTTAAATAATAACTCATAATTTTTTCCCGATAATCGAAATCAATTCGAATAAGATGCAATTTGGAAGTATTTGCATAAATTCTATAAATAATTCGTAATAAATTTCTTAATAAATAACATACATTGTCTATTCCGTCGCCTGTTTAAATATTTTCACATTATTACATGCGCTTGTACACACACAAACGTCATAATAAATAAAGCTCCCACTCCAATGCGAACAAAAAGCAAATAAAATGATACACGGAAAGAAAACCTAACCTAACTAATCAAAGAGCGTAGCAGAGGCTAATAAAAACTATAAACAATGTAAGAAGAAAAAACAAAAAAAAAAAGTATACATAGACAGCATTCAACTTAAAACGAATTTTAAATACTCATCATATCAAGCAAATATCTAATTATTTTAGTTTGTTATTAAGTTTGAGTTGTTACCCAGTAGATCAGAATCATTTTTCAATGAAAGTCTAGTCTATAAGCGTTCCATGTATACTAAATAAATTATACAAGGGCATATAATTAAATATTCGGTTTTATACGCAAATCCATATTTGTTTTCGTTACCCAGCATTTATAAATATTTCGGTGCTTAATTACAATACTTATACTTATGACGAAGATGAGATCCTCATGCTGAACGGGAATTTACAAATCTGCCTATCTATTGTTGAAATTTTTGTGCTCATAATAAAATTTCTCAGTTTATGGGTACTCCTCAAACAATTTGAAAAATTGTGCCCGATTTCACTTCAATGATCAAAATAAAATATGATAAGTCGCACATATCGTTTTAAAGTTCTATACATACACTTAGTTACCGTATTCTAGGATAGATACAAAAACAAACCACGAAGTATTATTGGCCGGCATCACTTTCTTCGCTTAGTTAAATATGTTGACATTTAGGGCATGAAGGTTGAAAGTAGAACAGTTTTGTTGACAAAAACAATCAGGGGATTGATCAGTTCATTCCAAATGCTAATGTCGGTGGGTACGAAGTAGATGAAGGTAATGAATATTTAGAATTTCTTTAGATAATATAGCAGGCGCAAACTTTTAAGTTTCTATTTGTACATTTGAGAATTTCAGCAGCAAAGTAATCATCCAAGGGGAGTGAAAATTTATACTTGTAAATATCAAGGAACTCCATGGGTCAGATTTACAAATGAAGTTACAAATGAACTCTGTGTGCTCTTACCGTGCATACTAAAACCTTAACAAATTAAACAATACGTTCACAAAAGAGAACTAGAAAAATGTTCGGTGCAAATCATAAAATAGAGAGACCAAGAAGAAAAGCAACGAAATATGCAATGTTTAAAAAATAGCATTTGTAAAAAGCTTACAGACAAAAAAAGAAAACAATTAAACAAAACCAGTCCAGCTAGTTTAAAAGGGGAATGGACTCCAAGTGTTGATAAGAGTGTATAAACGGCGCAAAAAAAAAAAATAAATAAATAAAACTCGCACACACAAAACCTGAGCTAATCGATATTTAAATGACAGTCACAAAATAAAAACAATGCGCTTTTTGAGGGGAAGACTTCGTTTCGGCGTCTTCGATAATTATCGATAATTTAATCAATCTTTGAGTTTATAGCAACCGAATGACATTTAATATGGTTTTGTAAACTTATTGGAAACATAAGGATAAGATAATCGTAAATCGTTGCTTTCCTATATTATGGACGCGCAATTTGAATATTTCTACCAAAAAATCTAAAACTATCGATAGTTACGACAGTGCAACAGCCATCGCTAATCTTCCACCACCAACAGCCGTGTAATAAATATGGTATGCAAGTTTGTTCGTGTAAATCGTTTTAGTTTAACAGTTCATGCCGATGAGTCAAGGTCGGAAGACCGAGATCGTATAACGTCACGTAACGTCATGCGAATTTCAAAGTATGTGAATTGAAGACAAGCAGAGACGGAGAACTTCAGTTTCGATTTTATTTATTTATTTTTTGTTTTACACATACCGATGGGTGCATGTGTATATAACAAAAGCGGAAAAAAAACGAAAACCTTTACATAAGGGAGTGGAATATTTTTAGCATTTCTATAAATGTGTGTGTAACAGATAAAATCTACACTGCTACAAAAGCAGTTGTGTGATTGCGATTATTTATTATATTAAATAACTTATAAAAAATTTTAAAAAAAGCCGTTCTATTTTTATCCGACAATTTATTAAGCGATATTCAGACAAATTATGTAGAGATTTTTTCGTTACCTTAATTTCTAATTCTCATATAACAGGAATTTTCATGTTGCAATATTTGAAAAAATATT